TAGGCACTGATCTAAGCGTATAATGGAATATCATTATGAATCATTTAATTTGCCTTTTTTCCAGTTGTATTTGCTTCTATCCTAGCTTTCCAGGCTATCCAACCTCCTCTTCCTGGCCATCCAGGCAGTGTCAGGTGTGGGCTCCCTCTCGTGGCATGGGCCTCAAGTTGGATCAGTTATTGCTAGGCCATTTCCACAGGTTATGTACCAACATTACCCCAGCATGTGTGGCAGAACAAGTTGTAGGTCCATATGGTGGTTCCTTAGAAAACTGGGAATCAATGTACACAGCTATACTATTCTTGGGCATATACCCAAGGGACCCTCCACCCGACCACAAGGACACTTACTCAAATATGTTCATAGAGGCTTTATTCATAATATTCAGAGATTGGAAACAACCTAGTTTTCTCTTAACTGAAGACTGGATAAAGAAAATGTGGTACATTTAACAATGGAGTACGACTCAGCTGATAGAGAGGAATGACATGATATTTGCAGGCAAATGGATGGAACTAGAAATAATTGTGCTGCATAAGGTAATCCAGAAGGAGAAAGACAAACATGGTATGCACTCACTGATAAGTGGATATTAGCTGTTAAGTAAAGGATAACCATGCTACAATCCACAGACCCAGAGTAACTAAGTAACAAGGAGGGGTTAAGGGGGATGTATGGATCTCGCTGGGAAGGGGAAATAGAAAAGATTTTGTGGATAGACAGGGAGTGTGTGGATTTGGGAACAGAAAGGATTACATGTGGCTGGATATACAGAAGGAGGGGGTACTGGGAGAAATCCCTGGAATTTAGAGGTACTGGGAGGCAATGTGGAAACTTATTGTAGTGGAAACTCCCCGGATTCTATGAGTGTGACCCTAGTGAAGACTCCTAGTAATGGAGGATATGGAGCCTGAACTGGTCATTTTCTGTAACCAGGCAATACTTACAGTGGTGGGACAGGGACAGAACCCTTTAATGACAGAAATACTTTAAGGGAACACAGAGACCGATTGAGCACATTTTTTTTTACCTTTGTATGATGGCATAAAGAGTAAGTAAAAGTTTTTAATAGAGGACATAGAAAAAGTTTAGGGACAACAATAAATTCAGAATAATTTAATAATATGGGAGATGAAGGAGAATGATTGTGTCACAGGAACCCAAGAGTTCAGGGAGATCTGTGAAAGTTAGAAATAGCCTTCCATACATGGACAGGTACTGGGGGAGACTGGGATAGGATGGTTTTCTATTGGAAATTTCTGGACCTTCTGATGCTCCCATCCGACTTCCAGGACACACCTCACAGTCAAACATATTCATAGATGTCAGGAAAATGTAGACATGAACCTCATAGTATCTCCAGGCCCTGTGGTGGGGGAGAAACTTCAACAGACTCCAACACACCACACACACACACACACACACACACACACACACACACACACACACACACACAGTCTCAGGCTAGAGGACCTAATGGACTGGTCCAGATCTCCTTAAAAAAGTGTCACTCACTACTTGTGAAATACATAGCTGAGTGGGTGGACTGTCTCAGTATAATGATATTAAGAACTGGTTGTCATTTCATAGGAACTATTGTTATACATTCTATAATGTGAGAACGACTCCTGTACAAAGGACCCCACTTAACAGAGATGGTCTCTGCTCCATTGTCCTGAAATGGGTTCTGGTTGCCTGGTGCAGACACATCATTGACCAAGAAGAGGTCTTGACTCTGAAGTGACCTTTGGCTCTGAAATGGATGGCTTACCAGAGCCCAAGAGTCATCCGGTCTGGGAGAGGGGAGATAA